CATTTAGACTACATCGTAAAAATATCTCCTCTTCAACTTGAAATAAAACCAATGACAATCCTGATGGTATCCTATATGCGTTCGTAAGCTTGCTAAAATACTACTGCGTTGATGTCCGCTTGTAAAAGCTGAAATCCAACAAATGCTTTGATCCATGCTACATCTCCGTGTTGGAAAAGCCCTTTCATCTCCGTTCATGATATCTTCTTACCCTTTTCTACGCAAATCTGTCACATCTACTCTCAAACAAGACGCCAACTTCAAACGAAAACGCGTTCTACGATGCGTCTACACTCCATCCCCATATCATTGGCGTTGACTGGTCCGAGGTCGATCTTGTTCGCCTGTTTTCGGCGTCTTGACGCCCGCGCAATGCGAGCTTGTACCTCTGCACTCGCCGAGATATGGCCACCTGTGTAGCCACCGAAACGATCTGAAGAAGTAGTTCCTTGAAGACTCCTTTCAGAGCCATCGTTCCTCCGTCCCTTCCTCCCACGGCATGTGTCGCAAGTTCATCGATGAACTCGTAACCCTCCTCTCCAAGGCGGCCAAAGCTTTCCACGGCTAAGGTAAGTTAAAAGCTGCGTTCGTCGAAGGACACGTGTCCCGGACGAGCGTAGTGCTGACGCTTTCGCGCCTTGGATGCTTGGGCTGCGATTCCATCGCTGGTTGCGCTGCCGTTCCGCAAGTGTACCTGTGCTTGCGGGTCTGCGTGTGTGACATCGAGGAGTATTCCTTTGTTGCGGTACCCCGGAGAAGATGCGTTCGNTCCATGCTCAGGTTTCTTTCCCCCGTGAACGGTGCCCCGCTTTCAACGTCGTGTTTGACGCGAAGGCCGTTGAGTGCTCTCGATAGTGCGTATTTTAACGGCTCGTGCATGTTGACCTGTGCTCCATCCCTTGGACAGGTCCTTGCGTGCACCGTTGTGAAATTATTCTTTTTCTCGTGCGCACATGCTCCACACACGATCCCTCTAAACAGCTTGTTTTTTTGCAAAACATTAAGCGTACCCCTAAACGGGCCACACTCTTCGCAAAAAACAACTATTAAAAAACACACACGCCAGCTGATACACACACACTCACCGTGTATGGAACGGTTGAGCCGACCCCATTCCCTGGTCTGCGCGAAGACCGGCGCCTCAACCTTCCTGCACAATAGGATGGTTCGCGTGCTGTTAAAGACATTACGCGAATGCCACATGCCAATCGCTGTTGAAGACTCTTCCCCATTTACTACAGGCACTGGTAGGGGAAGAGGGCTCTACAAGATGGATTTAGTGATCCCCCCAGGATTACACGCAGGAGATAAAGAAGAGGAACTCTGCACCAAATCCATCCTTATAGATGTCACAGTCGTCAATCCATCTGCTAGGCGAAGTATCGACAAGTCACTCCAAACGCCAGGATCCGCCCTCGAAGATCGAGCTGCAAGTAAGGCAAAACACTATGCGGGAACTTTCAACCCGTCTAGATCTACCCTCCTTACTGCTGCTTTTTCGACGTATGGTGGTCTTGGCAAAGGCACCAATCGACTTATCGTAGCTATCGCCAACCACTTGGCATACGAAGCCTTTTGCAAAGGGAATTTCGCCGACGAAACAGCCTTGATTCGCCTGAAGGCTTTTCATACGAATAGGATTCGGAGACGATTTACTTTCGAGCTGGCTCGTTTCCTGTCCGTACGAACTCGTGATGTTTTTAAACGTCATGGACTGCTCATGGATCAATTTCCACCCCGGCCAATAGGTTGGGATTTCGATAGTAGTACAAACGAAAACGATCATCATGATGGCGATGAGGGAAATTCGAGTGGCAACGATGAACGAGGAGGAACAGAGGGATCAAGAGGAGGACAAGACAGAGACCAAGACACCAGTCGAGAAGGGAATCATGGCGTGGAAGAGAGCAAGAGCTTCGAGCCAGAGGACCTCCCGCACAACAAAAGACGGAGAGACAGACAAGAAGAAGAGCTGCCAAAAAGTTGCTGCCAAAATGACGATGAGAATAGTGATGGTAGTAGTGGTGAAAGCAAGAAGAATGATAGAGAGAGCACTCCTAAACGAAGTCGAGTGCAGGGTGACAGTCTTAGTAGACACGTGCAGTTTTCTTCTGTTATTACTACGGTATCTGTCTTTAATCCTGACAATAGCGTAGCTCCCACTACGACGCTCGGTCTCGGGGTCCCAGATAGTGGACTATAGAAACATTTTGTGTTTCCCGCCGCACTGAGAC